AAAAATAATATATATATATATATATATATATATACTTATATGTGTGTTTTTTCTTCTCTCAATAGCCAGAGACCCGGCCAGATGGTCTTGCTTGTGGTTATGGCTCCTTTCACCAGCAGTACTTGTTGGATGGGAAGATAATTGCAGTGGGTGTCATTGACATCCTTCCTTATTGTATATCTTCTGTTTACCTCTACTATGACCCTGATTACTCCTTCCTCTCTCTTGGTGTCTACTCTGCTCTGAGGTAAGAAAAAAGGGAGTATTTGCTTCTGTCTAATTAGAGTTCTTAATCACATAAAGCAAGGTCATATGTGAAACTAGACACAAGAAACAAGAACACATTGTTGAAGAGATATTGTTATAAAAAATGTAGAATTTGTTTTTACTGTTTATATTTATGCTACCATTGCAGACTAGTGGACGATCAGTTCTGCACACTACAGATAATCATTCGGTATTATAGTCTCCACACTGAAAGCTGAACTCCAGGACACTATTACATTTTCCCCAATAGTACCCTTCCACAAAAATGTTTTTTTTTTCTTTCAATTACTTGCGTATCTGTGATGTCATCCATGTTGAACAATTCCGAGATGCCCAGCCACTGGGTGGAGAGCTGCGGTAGGTGCCGATATCACATCCTGTGTATTTGCATAACCTGACAATCGTATGGATTCAGCAGGCTTCTGCCTGCCAATCAGTCCTTGAAGTCACAGATGGGTAGCACAGACTTGTGAGCCCACGCAGCCTGGATCCTCACATTCAGGAAGTAGTTACATCACCACTCATAGAGAGAATTGAGGGGCATTTACACGGCCAGTAGCCGTAGGTGGAGAGGGCAAAGCAGCAAAGAGAACATGAGGGGGAAATGATTCCATGGCTGCTGCAAAAAAACATTTGCAAGATAAGATACCCCTGTGCAAAAGTGCTTTTACACTTCTGCCCAGTGTTGGGTTCACCCCACAGGGAAAGGGTTTAATGCTTGTTTATGCCTAGGGTACCAGTAAAAAGAACTTGTTACCTAATCCCTTGCACCCGCAGGCTCCTTCCATGCTATGTGACCAGCTTGCGCAGCCCTATTCTCTAAGGCGCTCTGTCAGTTGCAGGCACCCTGACGTCATTAAGCACAATTCAGGGCCAATGGCATAAGCGCATGTAAGGACGCCAGGGGAACACCCACAACCCGGAGTGTCAGGAAGAAGAATGCCAGCTTCCGCTGGGGGAACATGTGATAAGGTAAGTAAAAACCTTTTTCCTGGTACCCTAGGCATAAATGAGCATTTGGTCCTTGTAGTGTGGAGTAGCCCCATTGCATGAGTATGTTTGTTTTTTTCTTTTTCCTGGAGTTCAGCTTTAAAAAGTTAATCTTTTACACACATGTAGATAGGTGTATCAAAAATGGTTCAGACCTAACACAAAGCATGGTTAAGACTAGTTATATGCTCTCTGAGATGAACGTTTATTCTACTGTTGGGTCGAGGGGATAGGTCAGCTTCAGCTGTTCGGAGAGTAGCTCTCCGAACAGCTAAAGCTCACATATCCCCTCGACTCCAACAGTACTCCCCTCGACAGAAGCTCCCAGGTCCTGTTTATCTTACAATGATATGCAACTGCATTGAACGACTGTACTTTATGTTTTTTATTCTGCCAACAGAGAAATAGCATTCACCCGGGAATTACAGGCAAAGGCTGCTGACTTGTGCTACTACTACATGGGGTTCTACATCCACTCCTGTCCTAAAATGAGGTACAAGGTAAGCAGATTGCGTTTTTATATTTACTGAATGTACATTTCAAAGAATGAATGAGATAATGAAAGAGATGCCTTTATGTTGTAGGATGGTAAACATCATCCATGTTACAGCTGCTGAACAGGATAATTAGTCTAACAGTTGTTATTATTAGACTTGTAACATAAAACATAAATCCTTATACTCTCCTATCTACTATCTGTAGAAGCCCAACATACCCCCTGCTATGCAATAGCTAGAGCTTTCCAATCAGTAGGGGGCATGAGCTTTTCTAAATGCAGAGCTATAGGTGTGACTTAGCAGGGGGCATGTCAGACCTCTGCAGAGAGACCACTGTTAGGCTGGGTTCACACCTAGGCGTACAGAATATGCGCGTTTGCCGCGCATTTCGTGCCGCATGGTTTTACCGCAAATTGCTGTAAAAAAACCACGCAACACACGCGTGTTTCTGAGTGCAACCTGGCTGTATCCCAATGGATACGCGGGACAAATATGCCCCAAAGTGGCACAGGGCGTTTTACATTGCGTTCCTACGCGCTGTAAAACGCCCAGGTGGGAACCATGCCCATAGGCAATCATTGGTTTTCCTTGTTGAGCGTTTTATAGCGCGTAGGAACGCGCTGTAAAACGCCTAGGTGTGAACCAGGCCTTAGAATGTATGTGCTTTCATTACTGTTTTAGGGACTCTAGAGTTTAGGCTTCTTGGAGTAACTAGATGGTATATGTTACGTCATTATAGACTGGTATGGCATATGTTACATCAGTATAGAATGTGAAATGCGAAGTCCCCCAACTCTGCATAGGAGGGTGCTTAAAAATTGTCTTCTATGTATACAGACATGGGTTTTCGAATGTGTGGGCAGTATATTGAATGAGTTCATTTTGGGACAATGATGTCACATAGTGGACGTTGGTTCCTTTCAGCAGCGTTGAAATGAGCATCTGAATTAAGCAGTCCAGCTTCCATACAGTCCGTATTTAAAAATAGAGGAGGTACTTTTTAATCTCCTCTGTTAGCAGTGGGAAACTACACCTCATATGTCTCAGCCTAATGCACACTTCACAGAGCACTATAAGTAGTCTTTATAGGGTCATTATTTTAATTGAAGTGAGTGTTCACTATGATCCTGTGCATATGAAGCCTATGCAAGTCACCTGCATTAATAATTGGTATGCAGGACTTAGTCATTTCCTTAGCCATCTATATTGCCATGTGGCACTTCTCACTTCCTAGATGCCTGTGTCTCTCATGCTGGTTTTGCAGTCTGGAGCATGCAAGCCTGCTGGGATTTTGAGAATCCAAAGATTTGGTTTGTTTTTACAGAGGGTGAGGTATTGCTCCATACCAAGAATTCTGAAAAAGAGCTGGGCTGGCGCACATTGCCCTGCAGGACCTTGGTAAGCCGCCAACCAGAAGTTCCCATTCCATGCCACGCCCCGTTTATTATTGCTGTCATTATTCAAATCGGTATTTGTGTCCCAGAGGCCACTTTTATTGATTTTTCATTGGATCATGAATAAATGATTGTTTTCTGGGCTTTGAATCATGGATTTTAGATACAATCAAGAGATCTATATACCGTATGCCCTATTAACAGTAATGACCCGCTAAGTCTTTGCCCTTTGCAATAAATTAAAGCTGGAGCCACTCTGTGTCGCACAGAATTTGAGTACAAAACCATACACAAGAATTGGTTTTTCCTGACCGCCTGCGTGTGTTGGCCAAGTTTTAAAACCTCACACAGCTTCTGATGGCACCAGTACAGTGTAAGTATGAAACTATTTGATGAAAACATAGCTTATGTGCCAGCCATAAAAAAGTTATGTGGTGTTTTTATTTTTCAGATGAGAATTTGTTCAGATGAGAAAATCTCTTTTCCATCCCTTGACTTAATAAGATTATTGGACTTGTAAATCGACGCAAGTCATAATGATGACACGCAAACTGGCGTAACCCATAGCAACCAACTCACAGTGTACTGCAGTCAGCTCTGTGTAAATAACCACTGAATAGTTAGTTAATTTTGCTGTGATAACTGCTGACCATGCATACTCAGCTCAGCTGATCGTGTATGTTTATGCTGTGGAGGTGAAAGGAGGGAACTGCTGCCACACACACCTCTGTTGCTGGCTTAAAAGGAGCAAACAATAGCATTCATTCTAACAGGAATAGTGGCTAATTTCCCCCAAAATCTATTGCCCAGAGATGTCTGCTGCCACCATTTGACATCAGATCGTCACCCAAGCTGGACATAACCAAGAGCTCGGACAGGGTGACAACACTGATCCTTCTGCAATGTGGTCACCCTGCTGACAGTTTTAGCTGAACGTATTAGGTTTAGAATTACTTTAAGTAAGGAACAAACAAATTAAAGTTCATCTAAATTAAAATAATGTTTAAACCGTTACAGCAACAGCTATCTTTTTGGGTGGGTGGGGGATAAAAGTTTTAAATGGTATAACTAAAAGCAAAGTTATTCTGCCACCATAGGAATGAGGAAGTACCACATCCGAAATTAAAGCATTTAAGAAGTGAAAAAGACTTAAATGGTACTTATACAACTTCCACTTGAGACCCGACGCTAGTGACAGCTGATGGATTGGCTGTCCCAAAAGTGGAGGACAATCTTCACACACTGTGCTGCTCCTTCAAAAGGGCTAGGGAATCTTCACTAAAAACTCTAAAACAGAAGCACAGAGCGCCCCAACATGGTGCGAGATCGATTTATTAAAGAATAAAGAACAATAAAAACACACAAAAGTGCAGTACTAAGCACTTATAGAACGCAATCAGATCCGAGTATAGGAAGTGTAAGACCCGTACTGGCTATCCACACAGAAGACGCCGATTAGCCAGCTGGCATGCTGCCTCACATCGTGAGCCGCAAATACAGACAATCGTGCGTGATGCGGCATGCTATCTGGCTAATCGGTGTCTTCTGTGTGGCTAGCCAATACGGGTCTGATTGCATTCTATAAGGGCTTACTACTGCACTTTTGTGTGTTTTTATTGTTCTTTATTCTTTAATAAAATGATCTCACAAGTGTTGGGTTACTCTCTGATTTTGTTTTAGAGTACTTCTACAACTTGTTTATTTAAAATGTCAGCTCTTTATTTAAATCCCCAACCCCCCCAAAAAATACCAACAAATAATACATAAAAAATTACACATCTTATGCATCAAACCGAGAAACTATCCCGCCTGGCCAACTAAATCAGTATGTTCACAATTCATTGATGTCAATCTGTATGGATACCGTTTTTACAGTTGTATAATATCAAAAAGCTGATATGGCCAAAAGGCTGGAGCAGCTGCATCGCAACGCATTTCGCAATATCAGGTCAATTGCTTCTTCAGGAGGCTGTTGGGAGAAAGACATTAAATAAGCAGTAATATTCTCTTCAGTTGTATGCCATTAATCTTATTTAAAACAATATACCTCTTTAGAGGGTACGTGTTGCTAAACCTCCTATACGGACCCACTGATGGTGACAAACATCTCTCCTCCAGTGGACATGGGAAAAAAGGAAGGAAAGTAAACTAAGCCAACACCATAGCAGGCATCTGCCAAAGGCATAGTGATATCAATGCAGTCATACTACAAACATATATAGATATATCTAAAATACTATCACCACCAACCCAATACCGGGGTTGTATATGTTGTATCGCATACACCTGTGTCCAGTATGTATCCTGAATATACAGTATATACAGTTACCCCAGTAGCTGGGTGAATCTCACTATCCTAGAGCCACCATTAGCAGCTTCCATCTGAGGCCGCTCACTTGGTTGTTTTGTATCATGAAAGAGTCCTTTTAAATCACTCATTACTGCAGTTTTAAAAAGGCAAATTCTCATATCTTTGACATTAATTGTTGATATTATTTAGGTACTTTTAAATTAAAGTGATGTCTAACAGGACAGATTGAGGACTAGCCATGTTCTCTTGTATGGTAACGGGAGAAGAGGAGAGACACAGGGTAAGTCAATGCAGGCAGCCCGGCAGCGTGCACTCGCACAGACACCATGGGACACAGGAGACAGCAGTCAGCGCTGGAGTTTGCCACCAAAACTGTAAAAAAAAAAAGTACAAAGGTGTTTTTGTATTTTCATAGCAATCAAACATCTTCCAAGTGTCATTTTTGCAGTGCAAGTGTGGTAAGTGATGGGAAGAATCTATAGGTACGAAGAATACTTTTTCTTTTATATGCATGGCCTGTGATGTATGGCCAAGTTTATGATACTCATCTTGGTTAATGGAGGAATTTAGCACACATTCCATACTTTGAATGGTTCATCAAGTGAGATTAATTTGAAATAGTCTGTCTCTCTCATGACCTCGCAGACCTATTCCCTACTGAGGTGTTGCTATCTTTAATACACTACTGATGACATTTAAGGGTAAGGTTTGTTTATGCAGCACGGCTCCTCTTAAACTGCAAAGCTGCCTTAATACCCTTTTAATAAAAATCTCAACATGGGGTTATTGTGCAGCAACAGATTGCAGATGTGAATGCAAGAGCAGAGTGTGTGTTTAACCCCTGTACGAGGTTGTGCAGACTCCACTGTGTTAAATCTCCCCATTGTTACCAGCTGATCTCAGTGCAGTCCTTTCCTAGATGGGATATGACAGAACAAACAACATTTTCAGACCCTACAACAAATCCCATCCAGTGTTCACTTTGAAATGTCTCCAGAAGGCAGGGTGGGGGGAAGGGGTGGGGGTCAGGGCTGCTGTCTGCTTCTGATGTTGTCGTGCCGGGGCTTGTTGTATATGTGCCAATATTTGGGCTACATGGCAATACTTAAAAAGGCTTTTTAGTTACCAAACTAAATTAGCTGACGGTGGTTTCCTGTGTCAACTTAGCCGCCCAGGCCTGGAACTCGAGTCCTTCTTTGTATAAGATTATCCAGCAACATTTTCAACATCTGTAGTTGCAAATTGGCACCTTGCAATACAGTGTCAGTCCCCTCTTATGGAGTGGCTATACATGGCTTAACTTTTGCAAGCTGTTATGAAAATTGGCCTATAGAGACATTTTCCCGTCCTCAAGCATCAGAAGTGATTGTTATAGCAAAGAAAGAGAGTCTCACAGATGTTTGTTGGTGCTACTGAACTTTTACATATGCTATTACTGAGAACTGACTAAAGCTGGCCATGCATGTAAAGATTTCTCTCATTCAGCCTCTCATTTATTTCTTCTCAATCTCTGGGCTGACCTAGAGAAACCACTCAATTCCCCCATCCACGTTAAACATTTTGGATAGAGGAATCCGATTGGATGCAGTCACTGTTTAGCTGATTTTTCACTCGTCTCATTTGGTTAGTCAGTCAAAGTTTGTCATGCCAGCTGGTGTCAGTAGGGCCACCATGGCTTGAATTTGGAAGTAAAGCCATGTATGGCCGGATTTAGGCAGTCTATATCCTCTTATAACAGCAACAACATTTAAATAATATTAAACAGGGACATATAAACAGTCACATACTGTAAAATCTGAATCATGCAGGGTCGTAGTAGCCCTTAGTTGTAGACTAGCTAAAGGCGTGTTCACTTCACAATACATACTTTAAAGTACAGGTGAAACTCGAATAATTAGAATATCGTGCAAAGTTCATTTATTTCACTAATGCAACTTAAAAGGTGAAACTAATATATGAGATAGACTCATTACATGCAAAGCAAGATAATTCAAGCCGTGATTTGTCATAATTGTGATGATTATGGCTTACAGCTCATGAAAACCCCAAGAACCCCAAAGCCACAACCTCAAAAAAGTAGATTATTAAATGCAATCAATAAAACAAGGATTGTACATAGAACAATATCGGACCTCTGAAAAGTACAAGAAAAATGAAAAAATAGCGGTACTTTCCTGTTAAAAACGGGACATATAGTCAGCTTAGCTATAGGGAACAAAAGTAACCACCCTCCAGAGGGAAGGACAGTGTCAGATCCAATTCAGAGATGATTCGAGGATTTGCAGCCGAGTGATACACAAATAAGATAAAAATTTTCCTAATACTTTAATGCATCTTTAAGATTTAACTTCTAAGTTTAGTGTCACTTTAAGAGTCCCAGAAAAATAAACTGATGTGGAGCCCTACAGTTTGGACACTTCCAGAATACATAAGCAGTATACATTTTAGAGCGCGTACTTGCCCAGTGCATGCTTTGAACTTAGCTCTGTGATCAACTTTCCATTACAGCAGACATTGTCCAGCATGCAGTAAAGATGCACTCTTGGCTCTGGGTGACTGTGGGTGTAGAACTTATCTGCAGATTTGTGTTCCGTGATACTGAAGGCTAAGCACTAAAATTAGGACTGCATTGACTCACTAATATTTCCTTGGGTGTCCTTACAGTCATTTGCTGCCATGACCTGCATGTATGTATCTGTTTTATTTTAGAGCACATGTAAACATTTATTAAGGAATGTTCTATTTCTGTGTACTTAAATTCCTTTTTAATTCCTTTTGATCATCAGCATAGTGTTCTTAAGGTCGAGCTATATTTGCAAGTGGGAAAGCAGACATCCAATGTGTGATAAGTCTCTATCAGCATTGCAATTAGTCTTTTCCGGCCATTAACTAGACAAATCCTTAACTTCCATGTAAAGGGTTAGTAGGTGGCATGCAAGTGTTATCTGTGTTTGCTACACAGATAAATAATGATGAGCAAGTCAAAAAACAGCCATTTCCTGTTGGGGGAAGAACATTAGATAAATTATAATTAGGAACCGACACTCAGGTGAGTACACATAAATGCATGGCACCGTGGAATAGGCTTTTAAGTTGAAAACGGATGTGCCAACTGGAAACCAAGCTGTGTTTTCAGATTTATTAAATTTTTTCTTGACAAGGGAGCACACATCCCTCTCACCATCTTAAACAAACTTTACTGCAAGTGACTAGCCAAGCTCGGATTGAAGCAAAACAGCTTTTTATGTCTTTGCCTGGTTAGGATTGCTGGTTAAAGAAGAACTCCGGGCAAAACGTTAATTAACCCTTACAGCAGGGATACCACTTGTAACTAAAAAGAAAGTTCAAATAAATTATCCCTGCAGACAGGAAGGTTTCCCTCCCACTTCCTGTGCTGCTGAACAGCGCTCAAACCGCGCCTCGAAGTCCTTTCAGAAATAAACACTTCTCATTGTGAGACGATTTCTCTAAATTAAATCAGCACTCACCAATGTGGGCATAGGGAGAGGTAAGTATCTGCCTTCTTCTTTTCAGTGAAAGCTTTTATTTGTCCTTTGTCATTACATTTTAGAAGAGCCCCTATTATTATTATTAAATTAAAAATTCTCAATAATATCTGGTGTTTCATATCTTATTGTTGAAACCTGAGGCAGTATACAGTAAGACCGAGCTTCCTCATTTTACACAGCGGGATTGGCTGACTTAATCTCAAAGATTAAAGGAGAACTATGGAGTCAGGGCTTTTCCCCATAGTTCTCCTTAGGATAACGGGTGGACACAAACTAGCGTCCTCCCGTCACCCTAAGCTCAGTATACCGCGAGCTACAGCTTGCGGTATACTGAGACGTCGCAGTATATACTGAGACGCTGCAGCTGAAGCGGATCCCGACAATTATGTCTGGATCCGCCCAGCTGCGTGAGTGACAGCTGGCTCTGCCTATCTAGAGGCAGAGCCAGCTGTACCCTCCCCCGTCCGTTCCGCCAGCCAGCGCTGGAGGATCGGAGTGGGGAGGGGGGAATCCAGCCACTCCCCTGTCACGGCAGAGAGCTGTGACAGGATGGAGAGGTGAGCGAACGCCGGTATGTGTTCGCTCACTTCCCGATAGACTGAGCAGACCTGTGACAGTCTCATTGTCACAGGTCGGCTAGAACTATGAGGTGAGTGAAAAGCACTCACCTCATAGTTTTCCTTTAAGCTTGATTGGTCAAGTAATGCAGCACTGAGTTTATACCTGACTATGTGATATGCTATAATTATAAGCCTGTGTTTTGGTACATCAAAAGAAAACTGTAAGCAACCCAGTTTCAAAGCCTGTTAAGTGTTTTTCTCTGTTTTTTTTCCTTTCTAGGGTCAGTATAAACCTTCACAACTCCTTTGTCCCGAGAGCTACCTGTGGGTGCATATAGAGCAGTGTGTACCTCTACTTGAGAGCACTAAATACTCTCGCTTCAACAGCAACTCTGAAGAAAGTGAGTGCCTTTTAGGATGTTTTTTCATTTGTCGTTTTTATTTTATCTTTTGAGGTGATTTTCCCATGATTGTAGGTGTCATATGGGGTTTTTCGTTGTTGTTAATGTCACATGTGGTAAATCTGAGATGATTCCATATTGTTTCTTTCATAAAGAGTCAGTGCAGAAGGAGGTGGTCTCTGGAAGCCAGCTGTCCCCCAGATGTTTTTGTGAAAACACATTTGATCAAAACAGATCAGAATCAAATTCTTCTCTGTCCATCAGAGACTTAACAGACTCTCCTGTATTTATGTCACTCTTCCACCCAAATGTTCCAAGAAAATAACTTCTCAATAACCTCATTGAGGCCTCCAACCTGTTTCATCTCACGAGCTATATTCAAACAGTGGTAGGACATGCTAGCGCTCCTATAGACTTGTGCAAATCAGGGAGCAATGATTAGGGGGTAGCTGGGCCTGGGCATAACGACTCCCTAAAATAAAGAAACATATTCTTTTTGTCATTCATGATATGACTTTTCTGCCTATGATTTATTTTTGCAAAGCTATGCCCAGTTTTGTTTTATATTAGCAGTGCAAAGGCTGAAAGAGACTGTTGTAGGTTTAGAATTTGTATCAGTCTCCAGTGGATTTCATTTAGACTTTAAGTAAAGATGTGTAAAATGTAGTAACTCCTAGCAAACTGATTTTTCTTCACTGTAACTGGATGCTACGAGATGCTTTCTAATTGGTTGATATGGATTACTGCACTTTATATATCATTACTATTTGCAGTGCCCTAAGTAAAAATCAGCATCTAAAAAAAAAGAAGTATTGTTAGTATTGAATAGGATTTAGGTTACTTCTTATTTTCTAAAGTGAGATGGGATGTAATGCCTTTTGGTTCTTGAAGTGTAGAATGCAGAAGGTTTTCAAACAGCGTGAGTATTTCATAGATGAGCACATCACAGATGGCACAGTGCTGCATGTGGCTCATGAACCAGTGGTTGGGAATCATTACTCTACTCTAAAACATTGCCTTATTGCCTCTTTTCCACTTCACAGGAGACAAAGACCGATTGACAGAACTGGGCCGGGTTCGAGTCCTCCACAAACGTACAGTGATGCCTTATAGCATATACAAGAAGAAACGCAAGGGGCCAAATGATGAGACTACTGTTAAACAATATGCTGGCTTGGTAGGCCAGACCTGTGCCGAGCGCATGTTACTGTACCGCAGCTGAGAGCCCACTGCATTTATGACCCCTGAAGGACTGGCCTTGTAGGAAGACTGCATGTTATTATTATTATTATCGGAAATCCGGGAATTAATTCACCAGTTAGGTATGAGTGAAAGAGATATGGATCAGTCCGTTCTCCATAGCTCAGTCCTCTTCCTCATTGTAGTGTATAGGAGAACTATGCAATGGGTTTTCAAATCAACCCAAGCTGATTTATGTTTAGCTGTTGTTTTAAGAGCAACTCCATCAGGATAAAATGATGATATCGCACTGTTATGTGCACTACTTCTTTCTTTTTTAAATGTAACTTCTATAAGGCCCCATCGTTAAGGTTCTAAACTCAATTCCCATCAGTTGAAAACATTTGCAATTGTCAGCATCTGGAAGTGTCTACTGTTGGAAAACAGTGCAATGTATGTAATAGGAATGTGTACAAAAAAGTAGCTAATTCCAATGAATGTCTTCTGCAGTTGTAGGTCAAGACCTGACATGCACTGTTTTTGTTTTCTTCTAACTGCATCCATAAACTGTAAACAGATTGCAGGTAAATAGGTAAACATGAAGCATTCATTTTATTCCCAGCAGTACTTCAGGCAAATACCTTTAAGTCCAGTTACTAAGGCAGCTTATTGGTGGAGGAGTGTAGGGCGGACCTCAATGTGATGATGTCCACCATGCAGGGAGGTCAGACAGGAAGCTGCAGTGAAAATATTGTTTTCATCCTGTTGGCTACCCAGTATGGCTGGTGTGTGGAGTACAAGAGTTTGGAATTAGAAATATTTCAGCAGGGAAAATATATTCAAATGTGCATTTTGCTATTTGTCCGAAGGTCTTTTTTTTGTTGTTGTTCTTTTTTGCCTTCTCTTTTATTGTCAGAAATTGGGCCTGAGGTCTTTATTCACTTGCAGTCATTAGGAAAGATAATATGTTGGTGTGCAAATTGTCTTCAGTTTAATTTATTTATGTGAGGGCTCCTCTGGGTCCATTACCCTTAACTCTGTGCAGCCCTTGTGTTTGCCAAAAGAAGGGGCAGCAGTCTGCAAACATTTTTGTCTTCCATTGGCTACTTACCCAAAGTGACATATTTATACTCTTGAGTATACAAGTCGGTAAATTTATATATGATGACAATATGATTTTAAAGGATCTGATTTCTGCTTTCTTCAAGAAATAGGGTGACCCCATGTTTCCAGCAGTCAAGCAGTAGCTGAATGCTTCCTACCTGGATCTTAATGATTCTGTTGAGTTAAGCTCAAGCACATGATTTCTTGGGTTGAACAAAATAAAACAGCATTTGTTTTAGTAGTACAGATGAAATCAAGAAGTGCAAAACTCCTGAGATGATATGGATAGGTAAATGGAAAAGTAGACAGATCCTCTTTAGGCTTTAACTCTATAGGTTCATCAAACCTGAGCCCAGGCCTCACCAAAATATTTTGTGGCTTTTCTTTTGAATATGTTTGGGCTCATCACTGACTGAACTGACAGTTTTTATTTGTTTTTAAACGCTTTTGTCGAGCGTTTTTGTGTGCTAACATTCATTCCTGTCTGGCTTGAAGTCTGCTACTGCTGCGGAAAAAGCTACAGGACCTTTAAAAAACGCACTACCTAAAAGTGTAGTGATGTGAACTACCTCCATTGAAGAAAATGTGTTTGCCTTTCCCTATGTGCTGCAGTTTCAATGTGTGGAGGGATGCATAATATCTCTGAAACTGAACAGATGTGAGTGGGTTGAGGTGTTAGGCCTAAAGACAGGTTTGAGAGTCACTTTTTCAACCTGTCAGTTCTGAATCTTGCCATGAATTACCATTAAAACCCCATCATGACTACTAACTTGGACATGAGGGAGTCCCCTGCCACCCCGTGTGCCTCTATGACATGTCTGTGCTAAGTCAAACAATTCCAGTCCGTAATCTTATAGTGTGTAAACATTGCAGAGATTTACGTACACCCCACAACAGTTTTTTTAACTTTGCATCTCTTCATGAAAATGTGTCCCGTCGAGTAACCGAGTCCTGTTTATGGAACAAACTTTGTGGTTTGATGACGTGTGCAACCAATCAGATGGAGGCTAAACAGTCTGTTTCTTTGTTTACTTTGTCAATTTATGTCACGGCATTTTTCTTTATGTGAATAAAGACACATTGCAAATGTTTTTCATTTTATCACAATAAAAATATGTATAAAATTCTGTGTTTTTATTTTTTTGTGCTTAGCTTTTTGATGGCTGCCCATGATTAAAGATAATCAGGTAGCAGAGATCGATGACGAGCAGATTCCAAAAGTGTTTGCTGTGTTAGTCGCATAATGTCCAGGAAAACCAGTAGTAGTATGGAAGCTACTATTTCTGACAGGTCCCAGGCCTGGTATACTAATTCTTCACTCACTACTTGCCCTACTAAATTCATTTTTTCATTTCCATAGGCCCTTCATGGCAAACCAAGTTAAACCGTGTCCGTATGAATCTGTTAACTTGGCAAAATCTCGTGGACTAGTTTGCCTTCCAAAACAATTTTTACATTCATTTTTAAGAAGATATAAAGCTTTCATTTGGTACACCAACAACCTTACCTTAACAATGAACTTCTCTCATTTGTTCCCTTTTAGTCTGTTAAATATGCTGTTGAAAGTGTGTTTGCTATATTTGTTGGGTAAGTGCAAAAAAATCCCTGTTGATCCTGGCAGAAATCCAGTGAGGTCATAATCTCCTATGTATTATGCCTCTAATGCATTAAAATCTAAAGTAGTGGTATCAGCCCTGCCCAGTTCTCCCCTTGCACTACAGAATAACTCCATTTTGTGGTATGGAGCTGAGTATAGGGGAATGTGTTTTGAAGTAAATATCAGAAGTGAACACTCTAGGGCCTCCATAGATACAATACAGTGAGTATAATAACCATAGGACAGGAAGGGTGTGACTGGCAGGATCACCAAATGAAAATAAAGTAGAATGAGGTATGAAACTAGGTAAAGAGCAGCAAAAACTAACAGCTAACACTGTACTAATTCTGTGCATAGCATGGGACACTGTGATGCAGGCTAAAGAAGTTGGTCAGTGACAACGCAGACTCAAAACTAGAATTGCCTACAGGTGCATACTCCTAGTTCATAGCTAGCTGTATCTTTAAAGTCCATTTCCATCGTTGTAAGTGATTAGCATTTATTATGAAGAGGTGCAGTGATGATGTATACATGGGCACAGTTTCATGACTCACTTTGCAGGCTTTCTTCATTATTTTTATGAACTTTTTATTGGGCCTGAAGCCTACAAATTCAACATTTTCTCCACAGGAAATGTAGTATGACACCAGGGTCGGATTGTAAAGCAGGCTGTATACAGCTGCCACCCTCCCTGTGATCCTGTGTAGCATGATCACTAAACACCAGCTCTGCCTTTGCACACAAAACACTGTCCGGGAGGGTGCCACTATGAATACTAATGAATGGGGGGTAGAGAGCTCAGTTGCAATGCACACATTGCTTGCAGAGCACAGAGGTGACAATTTCCATGAGGTTATGAAGAGGAAAGCTAACAAAAAAAATGTACGTGTTCATACACAGCAACTGCATATGGCTGCTTTAAGTGCATTCAGCGTACAATGCCGGCATAGGTTTTTTAACCAGTTGCCGTCCGCCCATTGCAAAAAAACAGACGGGCGGCACAGTTGCATCGGCGTGTTGCCGTCTCCAGACGGCATTTTTTTCCTGCTCGCACGCACGCGGGCATAGTAAGCCCATCCAATGTAAAGAGCCGTTACCGGCTGTTTCACATATACTCGATCGGCGGCTCTATAGGCTGCCGATGGTGTATATGTGCTGGTTTTGTGCCCCCCATCGAGTGCTGCCGCCACCGTCGCCCCCTCCCTCCTGACCCCTCACCTTCAATCCCGGGATCCGCTGCCCCATCTGCGGCCCGGGACCGGCTCAGGAGTGTGTCAGGAGGTAAGATGGGAGGGAGATCAGCATCTTCCTCCTTGCTCATCTCCCTCTGTGCTGTGAATGCAGAAGTGATGGCTGCTATAGCCAGAGTGAAAGAAGCTGATGAAGCAGATCTCTGCTTCATCAGCTTCTTTTGGGGTCCCCAGGATGAAAACGACAGTTGCGCTCCACGCGTTACATATCGACCCCGAATTGTTGCAGTGAGAGCAATCATTTTAGGGCCATCAATCGCTGATAACACTAAACTGATGAGCGGTAAAAGTTTTTAAAGCTTTTAAACTGTCGCCTATGGCCAATTTTGGGTATTATAGTTTTTTGAGGTTTCGCCCATGCACGCAATCTTAAGGCTTGACATGTTTGGTGTCCCCACTGCATATAAGAAGGCTCGCACTGTACCTTTAAACAGAGCCACAGATCGTCAGGCAGCTCAGAGCAGCAGCAGGAGTCTCAGCAGCAGTATACCGAGCGGCCACCGCCGCCGATACACAGCACATTACATAGGACGCCAGGTACAGCTCTGCCCCCCCGGCCGGCTTCACCATGCGCGTGACGTCAGCGGCTGCCGGGGAACATCGTGGAACGCAACGGCTGCGTTCCAAGCATAGCGGTCCCAGCCGTGGGAGGAGTCACAATCCCGGAAGCTGCCCGTGGAGCGCCCGCCTGCCACTGGAGCGCACGCCTGCCGACCACACTGGAGTAAAGCAACAGCCTCGGAACCCAGCAGCGAGGCTTCCCCATCATGGTCATTTAGACCAAACAAGGGGACTACACCCATGCCCTGGGCGGACGGCCAGAGGACATTTACCTCAGCCAGGTATGCAACAACCCGCCTCCATCAGTAGTAGGAGGAGGAAAAAAGAGGAACACTGGTGGTTGTGGGTTGCTCAAATTTATGAGTTGGGGTCCTATCAGATTGGTAGGGAGGCGGGGCCATCCCATTTGTGTGCTGCCATGGAGCTGTCAGGGAAAAAGGTGTTTATACATTTTTACTCTGTGCTTCAAGGTATGTGCCCAACAGGACTACACATGCTTGTGCCACAAGCTGTGGCATATTAGAATACCCTGACATCCTGTAGAGTGCTCTCCACATTGAGGGAATTATATATTGGCACGCCACAGCTGCAAAAAAAGTCTCAGTAACTTGGGTTTTTAGAAGTTATTTCCTGGATGCTTCTAAACAGGACATGAAGGAGAGATTTCTAAGAATCAGTAAATGGGCGTCTACTCTCAGAACCACAACATGTCCTAATTGAGCTGGTATAGGGCAAACTTAATTAAAAATAAATCTAACCAAACAGCTTCTGCGTTACTGAGTGAAGTATTGGCTCTCTGGTGCAATGCCTCGTGGATAACAGCAAAATTAGGTATGGGGCAATGTTTAGAGAGCTAACATTTCAGAGATCTGAAGTAGTCCACTGTATTTCTCATGGCTGGGTCGTGCAAAGTTCTGCGTGCTTCCCATTTCATATTGCTGATTGGCTTGGAAGCTCAGCCTTCCTCCTGAACCA